AAGAGCGATCGAAATCAATAAATTTGAACTTTCGGGAACGTGACCGGCGAGGCGGAGGATCGCGATGACTTTCGATCATTTTCGAGACACGTACTTCTCGAAATGTTTGAAGATCAAGGGGAGGGGGGGACGGCATTTTTTTACATAGATCTTTAGAATCATTTCAAGCGCGATCTCAAAATCTGCCACAGTCGCTTTACTGGAATCGTATAACTATAATGTATAATATATACGAATACGTATAAAATATATGAACATAAAAAATCGATTTTTTAAATACGTATATACGAGATGAAATATAAATAATTGGATCATGAATATCGTCTGAGAAACTAACACGTAGCCCTCGCAGGCAAGTGGAAAGGCAGGGGGAGAGGAACAAGAAGTACGGAAGGCTTACTCGCGGAAGGAGAGGCGGGAGGGCCCTATCGCAAGAAGACTCCGGAATTTGACGGCTCTGGACTGCTCTGGACTGGGTACCGCGGATATGCACAGTACGGACCGAGTGTCGCTCGGGAGAGTGACATTTAAAATCCACGACTGAGGATACAACGACGACGACGACGACGACGAAGAAGAGGTGTCGATGATCTCGGTGGCCGATTGTCGTAGCTGTTCGCTCAAGCATCGTAGACCCGCGCGCATCGAATTCACAATGCCGGGCACCGCGGATGATTAATGACGCGCGGGCACTTCGGGGCCGCGTTAATGAAGCGATGACTCGGCCGACTCGTTAACCATCGTTAACCATCAGCGCGCCCTTCGGCGCGCGAGCGTGCCGCGATCGCCGGCCGGTGACGTAACGATCTACTATTGCGAGAAATAAGGCGACTTCACCTTGACGCGCGTGTGAATAAGCGCGCGGGTTACGCCGCCGCATTACGCGCGGCCGCTCATCAGACAGGATGTAGATATGGTAAAAATCGAAATTAAGGCGCTTATTTTATTTCTGATACTTCTTATAAAGCTTAAACCGCCTTTTATAGAGGAGAAGGTCTTTGTGCGAGAGTTAAGTGGACGCGGGAGGGGGGGGGGGGGGGCATATTTATCTATTTACGTCCTTGGCA